CCAACTCTCCCAAAGCACATTTGTTGATACCATTATCATCCTGATACCAAACCAAAGACAATAAAAAATGTAAATTACAAACCACTCCTCTTATGAGTACAGATGCAAAAATCCTCAACAAACTACTAGAGACCAGAATCCAGTAACATGTCAGAAGGGTTCTATACCATGACCAAGAGGGACTTTGACAATGGCTTTTTAATAAGCACCCAAAGCACAAACAAAAAAAGAAAAAAAAATAATAAGACCATGTTAAAAACTTTTGTGTATCAACAGACACTAGTTTTTTCTTATCAAAATTTAGTGAGTGTGCATAAGAATGAATTCTACTCGTCACAATTGATTGAATATGGAAAGGAATTTTTGAGCAAATGAAATATATTGATGGAATGCACTATCAGAAACCCAGGTCTCTATGGGATCTTGAGCAAATTAGCATATTTAAATGCTTTTTATCACTCAGTTGACTGAAGTTCAGATCCAATAGTGGCCTGTTCTAAAGGCAGTTCAGTGTCCTAAGTATATTACTATGAAAGATAGCAATAAAACCAAGGTACAAGCCAACAGGAATGTGGCAGTTGATTTCTCTTATTTGCAGTCACTCACTCCCCAAATACCCTCCCAGAAGGGTTTCAGAGGTTATTACATTCACCAAGAGATTGAGAAAGGAATTTGTATGGTGTGCAACAGCTTCCTTGAAGAGATCTGTAGTGGTTTTCCATGTATGGTAGAGCTCAGATTGGGGCTGCTGAAGTTGAAATGAGTTCCTCCTGACTCCAGGAGAGAGAATGTCATTTGTGGGATACTATTTGGGAATCACTTGACCATCAGAATGATGGCATTCACAGTTAATGTGATAGGTAGCAGTACCAGCTTATTTGTCCCAATACATTAAACCACTGAGATCTTTGGAAAACGCAAGTGATCATACTATTTCGGTGCATAAAATAGATAGGAAGTTTTCAAGAACTTAACAACCTATGTAAATATACAAACTACTTCTAAGGTGAGGACGTGTGTCTTGAGTCACCAAAATGAGTAACAATCTCTCACTTGATTCTCAGACCTGAGACTTTTCAGTGACCTGAATCCCCACTACTTTTGAGGATGGACCATAAAATTGCCATAGATTTATGTTCTCCATTGCCCCCCTAAGCATACCCAAAGGCAATGGTTTGGAGAAGTTGGCTCCTAATGATTCATGGGGGAAAGATATACACAGTGCCCTTCCACTCCTGGCTTACTGACGTTGCTTTGTTTGCTTAATGGCCATGGAAGTATTTATTCTATAGAAATTGGCATATTTTCATTTGTTTCTTCTTCTTTCATTAATTCTATGTCTTTATTCCCTATTTCTGTCATTCCTTTGTTTCTTTCTCCCTTCTATGTATTGTTGTTGTTAGCAAGAGCTAAACATTTACCAAAATGCTAGTGTTCAAATGACCTATGGCCTTTTATGTGGATAAGAGCAAACAGGGTGCAATTTCAGGGTCATAGGGAAGTTCTATTTTTAATTTCTTAAGGAATATCCACTGTTTTCCAACATGGCTGCACCAACGTGCATTCCCACCAACAGTGTGAGAGGGTTCCCCATTCTCCACATACTCTCCAACAATCTTGTTTACTGTCTTGTTAATTTTGGCCACTCTAACTGGTGTAAGGTGGTATCTCAATGTGGTTTTGATTTGAATTTCCCTGATGGCTAATGATGATGAACATTTTTTCATGTGTCTGTTAGCCATTTGTATGTCTTCATTGGAGAAGAGTCTATTCATGTCTTCTGCCCATTTTTTGACATGATTATCTGTTTATGTGTGTTGAGTTTGAGGAGTTTTTTTTTATAGATTTGGAATGGCCAAAATAAAAAAGACAGTAAAAAATGTGTGTTGGAGAGGATGTGGAGAAAGTGGAACCCTCTTACACAGTCATGTGAATGCAAGTTGGTGCAGTCACTTTGGAAAACAGTGTGGATATTCCTTAAGAAATTAAAAATAGAGCTAACCTATGACCCTGCAATTGCACTACTGGGTATTCACCCCAAAGATACAGATGTAGTGAAAGGAAGGGCCATCTGTACCCCAATGTTCATAGCAGCAATGGCCACAGTCGCCAAACTGTGGAAAGAACCAAGATGTCCTTCAACAGACAAATGGATAAAAAAGATGTGGTCCATATACACTATGGAGTATTATGCTTCCATCATAAAGGACAAATACCCAACTTTTGTAATCTTCCCATTTGCAATGCATGGACAGAGCTACAGAATGTAATGCTAAGTGAAATACGTCAGCAATAGTAGGACAAATATCATACAATTTCACTCATATGAAGAACTTAAGAAACCAAACAAATGAGCAAAGGAAAAAGAGAGAGAAAAACAAACTGGAAACAGTCTCTTTATTCTAGAGAACAAACTGATGATTACCAGATGGGAAATGGGGGACATGGGTGAAGTAGGTGATAGGGATTAAGGAGTGCACTGCCCCTGACCAACACTGGGTGATCTATGGAAGTATTGGATCACTATATTGTATACACCCAAAACTAACATTACCCTGTATGTTAACTACACCAGAATCAAAACTTAAAATAATTTAAAAAATAAAATTAATGGTGAAAAAAAAACAGGAAATGGACTCAAATAGATATTTCTCCAAAGAATATGTGGAACTGATATTTAATGCAAAAACGATGTGCAACATCACTAATTATTGGGGAAATGTAAACCAAAACCATAATGTAATACCACTTCACACACACGAAGAGACACTTTTCCAAGGAAGATATAGGAGTCAATACTTAGTACATGAAAGTTGGGTAACATGACTATCTTTAGGGAAATGCAAACCAAAACCATAATGTAACACCACTATCACACACATTAGGATGGCTATTTTCAAAGCTAAAACAGAAAATAAGAGTTGGTGAGGATGTGGGGAAGTTGGAACCTGGTGATGTTTTGCTGATGAGAATTTTAAAAGTGGCACAGCTTCTGTGGGAACCTGTGTGCCAGTTCCTCAAAAACTGAAACAAGGGATTATCATATGATCCAGTAGTTTCACCAGTGGGAATATGCCTACTTATATGCCCCCTAAGAATTTGTAGCAGTGACTAGAACAGATATTTGGACACCACTTGTCATAAAGCTTTATTTACAGTAGCCAAAATGTGGACACAACCCCAATCTCCCTCAAAAAAATCACAGAAGAATAAAGTGTGGTGACCACAGACAGTGGAATATCATTTGTCATTAATTCTATTCTGTAAAAAGAATAGAATTCTGGCACAGGCTATGACATGGATAAACCTCACCAACATTATGCTAAGTGAAAGCAGCCAAACACAAAAGGACAAATAGTATACAGTTCCATCTATATGAGGCACCTACAGGACCCACTTTTAGAGAGAGAAGGTAAGATGGTGGGAGCCAGGGGCTCATCAGAAGGACAATGGAGTGTTCGTGTTTCATGGGAACAAAGGGTTCAATTTGAGATGATGAGAAAGTTCTGGAGATGGGTAGGGGCTGTGGTTGCTCAATAGGGAGAAAGTCTTTAATGCCACATAACTAAATGCTTCAAAATGTTCGAAATAATAAATTTCATATATATTTTACCATGACAAAAAAAGGGGTGAAAAAAATTGGCATACTCTAAGAATGTCAATGCCATAAATAGCTTTATATGATGTAGAGGAAGACAAGGGTGTTGTGATGTGATAAACCCATGTTATGTAATTCAACACCTCAATCCCAAAGTATACCCAAAATAAGGGTTCAGAGGCCATAAAATGAGGTCATTGAGAAACAACCTGGTGAGGCTGTAATGGCCTCCTTGACAAGCTCAAAAGAACTTCTCCCCTGTAGGATAGTTGCCATGAACATGCTCAAATTGAAATGGATTTGTCCTGTGGTCAGCCCATCCTGAACTGGGGGATGTCAACAGAAAATGTCAACAGCCCACAACCCTCTGAAGTTTGATATTCATAGGTCATGTAAGAATTCATCATTCTCATCTAAATTGTGAAAGACACAGGGATTTCTCAAAATGGCAAATTATTCATGGTGTCTCCATAAAACAAAAATGATGGGCAGCTTACTAACGGTTCATCCAATTTGTGTAACTAAGGAAAACAAAACAAATTAAAATCCCTCTAAAAATCATGAAGAAAAGAGTGACCGTATCACTGCGCTGATAGGTCATAATCTCTATTTCACTCTCAGACCTGAGACCAATTACTGACCCAGATCTTCAATTGATGGAACCAGTTTCCCCTGAATGAAGATTGTAAAATAGCAATAAATGCAGTACTTTTTCCTCCAAACTGAACCCAAAGACTCTAAGGTGATGTTGCTGGCCAGGTTACTATGGCGCATTAGGACTGTGATTGGAACTAAAATTGGTAGCTTAAAATTGGGCAAGATAAAGGGCACCTGGATGGCACAGTCCGATAGACAACTGACTCTTGATTTTGGCCTAGGTCATCATCTGCGGGTGGTGAGATCAAGCTCCGCAAATGGCTCCACATTCAACATGGAGTCTGGTTGAGATTCTCTCCCTCTCCCTCTGCCCCCCCCAACTCATGCTATTTCTATCTCTCTCTAAAATAAATAAATATATCTTTTAAGAAAACTTTTTTTAAAAAAACAGACCACAATCAGAGTCATAAAAAAGGAGAACAAACTAAGGGTTGCTAGAGAGGATATGCGGGGTGGATGCACTAAATGGGTTATTGAGATTGAGGAGGGCATTTGTTGTGATGGGCACTGGATGTTGTAAGTAAGGGATAAATTACTGAATTCCATTCCTGAACCTAATATTACACAATCTGGTCTAACGAATTTTTTATAAAACCTCGAACTGAAAAAAATAAACAGATAGTTGCTTGTTATGTATGAAAAAATTAAAGACTGAATAGTGTAGAAAGATGAACTGTAGATCATCTTTCCATGAACTGATAAAAAAATCATGATTTGGGTCATCTAGGGTCTTGAGCCCTGTTACTCACATCTTTATCTTGAAACAAAGGATCTTTTTATCAAAGAATGTCTTTCTGCTCAAGAGCTTTCTTAGCGCCAGCTTTATGTCTCTGCTCCTCAGACCATAGATGAAGGGGTTCAGCATGGGTGTGACCACTGTGTACACCACTGAAGCTATGGCCATTGTCCTCGAGTTTTGTGAAGCAGCAGAACTAAGATACACCCCAAAGCCTGTACCATAGAATAAAGAGACAACCAAGAGGTGAGACCCACGCATGGAAAATGCCTTATATTTGCCCCCAGAAGACAGAATTTTCAAAATAGAGGTTACAATTCTAGAGTAAGAGTAAAAGATACCAATGAGTGGAATAAAACCCAGAAGTCCACTTGTAAGATAAATTGCCAGGTTATTGAAGAATGTGTCAGAACAAGCAAGGTGGATCACCTGATTAAGTTCACAAAAAAAGTGAGGGATTTCTAACTACATACAAAAAGACAATTGCAAAACCAGTAAGTCATGTCATAGAGTCCAGACCACTCAACACCCAGCACACCATAAGCAGGCTGGCACAGAACTTGGGGTTCATGATAACCATGTAGTGCAGTGGGTGACAGATGGCCGCAAACTGGTCATAGGCCATCACTGTCAAGAGAAAGTTGTCTAATCCCACAAAAAGCAAGAAAAAATACATCTGGCTGAGGCAGCCTGCATAAGTGATCACTTTGCCCTGTGTCTGGAGGTTCAGCAGCATCTTGGGGATGGTGGTGGAGGTGAAACAGATGTCTACAAAGGACAGGTTGGAGAGGAAGAAGTACATGGGTGTGTGGAGGTGGGAGTCTGTGACAATGGCCAGGATGATGAACAGGTTCCCACTGAAGGTGAGCAGGTACATGGACAGGAACTGCCACAGGAGCAGTGGTTGCAGTTCTCCCTCTTCTGAAAGTCCCAGGAGGATAAATCTGAAACAGCAGTTTGATTCCTTTGTTCCATGTAACTGCTGAAAACAGCTGGAACAGAGAGAAGACCACAATAAAGTCAGAAGCAGTGAGCACAGAATTAAAAGAAATGCTGGATGGAGGACAAGGGGAATTAGAGAGGAGAAGTGAGTTGGGGAAAATTGGAAGGGGAGGTGGACCATGAGAGACTATGGACTCTGAAAAACAATTGGAGGGGTTTGCAGGGGCGGGGGTTTGAGGGTGGGGGGATTAAGGTGGTGGGTATTAGAGAGGGCACGGATTGCATGGAGCACTGGGTGTGGTTCAAAAATAATGAAAACTGTTATGCTGGAAATAGAAGAAAAGAAAAGAAAAGAAAAGAAAAGAAAAGAAAAGAAAAGAAAAGAAAAGAGAAAAGAAATTCTGGGTCTAGTGTTCCTAGGAGGCTCAGTCAGTTCAGCAACTAACTCTTGATTTCAGCTCAGGTCATGATCTCCTGGTGATGAGTTCAAGCCCCACACTAGACTCTGCTGGGAGCAGAGGCTACTTCAGATTCTCTTCCTCCCCATCTCCTCCTCTGCCCATTTGTGTTCTCTCTCTCTCTCTCTCTCTCTCTCTCTCTCTCATCTGTCTCTCACTATAGATAGATGAGAGAGAGAGAAATGCTGGGATTTGTCTGGTGAAATTTTTGTTTTCAAATTGCCTCACTCATTAATTCTCATACATTACCTATCCATCTATAATAATTAGCTAAAAATTTCAAGGACCTCAAAAGCTCCATGTTTTCCATGATACTGAAAAGAGTTGCAGTCCCAAATTGAAGCATTTACCCAAAGCAGTGCTGTCCTTTATAAATTTCCTGAGATGCTTTTTGTTCACTTAACAAATATTTTCACCAATTATCTTATGGCAAGCATTGTTGAAAGCATTGTAAACTAATGATGTGTGTTTGACCTTAACAAGATTGAGTCTGGTATATGTGTGATTAGGGAGCAATAAAATATTAATGAATGAGCAAATGACATTTCAAGTGGTGGTTTTCATTAATAAGTAAAATAATGCAAGACAAGGTAGTGCTACACTGAAGAGAAAACTTTCCATTGTATCTTCTCTGATAAGGAGATTTTGAGCAGGAAAGCTGAGGATAGTGGATTCATGAGCCATGCACACAATTTTGAGAAAAACAATTAAGGCAGAGAAAGAGCCTGTACGAACAGCCTTAGACAAGAGCTCACCGAAACCATAGGGCAACATCAAAGAGAAAGCTGTGAGCAGAGTAGGTAACACAACAAGAACAGGTGCTGGATGTAGGAGAAGAGAGAGAGGATGTCAAAATCTCCTACTTCTTTGGAAACATTCTGAGCCAGTGGATACTCATTCTATTTATGTGTGTATGTGTAGGTACATATATATGTACCTATATGTGTGTGTATATATGTATATATACATCCATATATATAAATATAAGTGTATATATATATGATGTCTACAAAAGCACAAATTTTCTGTCATATATACAAATGGAAAAAAATTCATTCCTCTATAATTCTATCTCTTTCTCTCTCTATCCTCAGTCTATAGTTGGTCTACACCCTGCATTTTTTATTGCCTAAGACAGCTTAGGCAATAAAATGTTTAACCAGGGTGCACTATAATGATAACTTCTCTACTCCCTCCACACAGACACACAGACACACACACACACAAGCACAGAGTTCAGAGAAGGAGAAAGGCAGTGTTGTCCATTATTGTAGTACTGTGTAGCCCTTGTAGCTGAAGCACAACTGTATTAGAAAGCAGAGGAAAGGCTATACCATGAGTCACAGAGCTTCTTTCTCCTAGGAGAATTGCATTTTATAATTTCAACATTTCAATGGAGTAGTCATGAATAAAGATCACGAGATCCACACAGAATTAGAAGGATGAACATCAATCCTTCTCAAACTCTTCCAAAAATTTTCAAAGGGAAAACACTTCCTACTTTATTTCAAAGTACAGTATTGCACTTACACTGAAGCCAAAGACATTGCAAGAAAAGAGAAGTACAGATCAACATTCCATGGGAATCTTTGACTAAATATTACAACTGACTATAGCAGCCTTTTGTTCATGCTGTATAAAAGGATTATGCATCATGACCAAGTGGGATGCATTTTTGGAAGGCAAGGATGGTATAACTTATGAAAACCCCTCCCTGTAATACACCACATTAACGGAATGAAGGATAAAATGCAGGATTATCTCAACTGATGTAGGAAAAAATTGACAAAATTCTGCATTCTTCCATAATAGCAACATTGGAAAAATTAAGAACAGAAGGAAACTTCCTCAATGTGACATAGGTCATATATGAAAACTCACCTTCAATTTTATTCTTTTTTTTTAAATTCTTTTCAGTGTAACAGAATTCATTGTTTATGCACCACACCCAGTGTTTAATGTTATTCTTAATAGTGAAAGCCTGAAAACAACCCTTGGATAAAAACAAGGCAAGAATGCCTGCTTTAATAACTTCTTTACACATATCATTCCAAGTTCCAGACAAAGCAATGAACCAGGGAAGAAAGAAAGAAAGAAAGAAAGAAAGAGAGAGAAAGAAAGAGAAAGAAAGAAAGAAAGAAAGAAAGAAAGAAAGAAAGAAAGAAAGAAAGAAAAGGTGATGGAGAAGGAGAAGGAGAAAAGGAGGGAGGGACGGAGGTAGGAAGGCAGGCAGGAAGGAGAAAAAAGAAGGAAAGGAAAGGGAAGGAAAGAAAAAAAGGAAAGGAAAGGAAAGGAAAGGAAAGGAAAGGAAAGGAAAGGAAGGGAAGGGAAGGGAAGGGAAGGGAAGGGAAGGGAAGGGAAAGGGAAAGGAAAGGAGAAACGGAAAGGAAAAGGGAAAGGAAGGGAAGGCATGAAAATTAGAAAGGAAGAAGTAATATTATTTCTGTTTATAAAGAAGGTGATTGTATTTTTAAAAATAACACAAAATTAAAAACAAGAAAAACCATTAGACTAATACATGGTTCAACAATGTTACAAATAAAAATCAAACTCACACACAAAACAGATAATCATGTCAAAAAATGAGCAGAAGACATAAACAGACACTTCTCTAATATCAGACACATGAAAAAATGTTCATCATCACTAGCCATCAGGGAGATTCAAATCAAAACCACTTTGAGATACCACCTTACACCAGTTAGAATGGCCAAAATTAACAAGACAGTAAATAATGTGTGTTGCAGAGGAGAAAGGGGAACCCTCTTACACAGCTGGTGGGAATGCAAGTTGGTGCAGCCACTTAGGAAAACAGTGTGGAAATTCCTTAAGAAATTAAAAATAGAGCTTCCCTAGACCTGTAATTGTACTACTGGGTATTTACCCCAAAGATACAGATGTAGTGAAAAGAAGGGCCATCTATACCCCAATGTTCATAGCAGCAATGACCACGGTCACCAAACTGTGGAAAGAACCAAGATGCCCTTCAACAGACGAATGGATAAGGAAGATGTGGTCCATATACACTATGAAGTATTATGCCTCCATCATAAAGGATGAATCCCTAACTTTTGTATCAACATGGATGGGACTGGAAGAGATTATGCTGAGTGAAATTAAGTCAAGCAGAGAGAGTTAATTATCATATGGTTTCACTATTTGTGAAGCATAAGGAATAACACGGAAGACATAGGGAGATGGAGAGGAGAAGGGAGCTGAGGGAAATTGGAAGGGGAGGTGAACCATGAGAGACTATGGACTCTGAAAAACAACTTGAGGGTTTTGAAGGGGCGGGGGTGGGAGGTTGGGGGAGCCAGGTGGTGGGTATTAAGGAGGGCACATATTGCATGGAGCACTGGGTGTGGTGCAAAAACAATGAATTCTGTTACACTGAAAAGAAATAAAAAAAGAAGTACATGGACTCTGAGAAACAAACAGAGGTCCTTGGGGGTGGGGTCTTGAGTGGTTGGCTGTTCCTGATGGTGGGTATTATGAGGGCACGGATTGCATGGAGCACTGGGTGTGGTGCATAAACAATGAATCTTGGAACAGTGAAAAATTAAAATAAGATTTTAAAATGTTAAAAAAAGAGTACATGAGTTATGGAAAGTCAAAAAACAATTTAAGAAAAAAACAAATACAAATCAAAACACACAAAACAAATAGCATAGAGGACAAGGGGAGTTAGAGAGGAGAAGGGAGTTGGGGGAAATTGGAAGGGGAGGTGAACCAAGAGAGACTATGGACTCTGAAGAACAATCTGAGGGGTTTGAAGTGGTGGGGGGGTGGGAGGTTGGGGGATCCAGGTGGTGGGTATTGGAGAGGGCACGAATTGCATGGAGCACTGGGTGTGGTGCAAAAACAAGGAATACTGTTATGCTGAAAAAAAATAAAATTAAAAATAAATTAATTAATTAATTAAATAAAAACATCAATCATCAAAGCAAAAATAAATAAATAAATAACCACGAAACACAGAGGAGAGAGGGAATCCCAGAATGGAATGCTCCATGTGAAAAAATAAAAAACAATCTAACTCTATTATAATTGCATGAAAAGATCTCAATGAAGCATGTGGGAAAAAATGCAGAAATATGTCATCTGGAGACTGAGTGGAGTCAGTGAAACTGGAGATGAAAGTGTACAGAAAGATTCTACTATAGTTAATACAGGTGTGTCCCAGAGAGAACTGTTAACGATACTGATACTCTGCACATGTGAACTGAAATTGAACATATAAAGAAATGGAGAGTAAATTGTGAGCCACTTGGTGTGGGAGTTTACATGTAAGCCAGGTGGAGAGGCTAGGATGATCCATGTGGCAATAAATGGGAGCTGGAGCCATTAGTATGAACTTGCTTTGGCTTAAACTCTCTTACAGAGAGTTGTATATATCTATATCTATCTATATCTATATCTATATCATCTATATCATCTATATCATCTATATCTATATCTATATCATCAGTGTATGTGTGTGTGTGTGTGTGTGCATATACACAGAGTATACACTCATATATTTCCTCACCACATCAGTTGAGGGTATATAGAGACCCTGGCAGCAGCAAGCACACCTGGCACCCAG